AATTCTGGTTTAGTATAAAGAAAGAGTTGGACAAGATCTTCTCCATTAGCACTGAGTGTAATCCAATGTATATGTTACTGGGAGTGACAAACAACAGCCTTAAGAAGAATTGTGAAAAACATCTGTACAGGATGCTTACATTCTGCGCTAGAAAATGTGTCCTTTTGAACTGGATAACAGATAAGGTCCCATCCATAACACAATGGCAACGGACTGTCCTTGAATATGTGTCATTGGACTTTTTAACCAGTAAATTACATAATAGAGATGATATGTTTCATAATATTTGGGATCCCTTTATATTGTATACTGGTCTTGATATTTCTGCTATTTTTTCACGTAGCCTTACATAATATATTGCATTAATGTGGCTGCTTTATTTTATTACTTTAATTATTTAATTATTATTATTTATTTATTTTTTGTTTGTTTGTTTTGAGCTGGTGTATTGTAACGTTAATGTTGTGTGGAAAATGTTTCTTTTGTTTCCTTTTTTTTTGTTTGTCTTTATTAAAATGGAAAAATAACTAATAAAAAAAANCTATCAATGCAAACCACTGTGCCTGACACAGCACATTCCCCCCCCCGCCTCTCTTTCTATGTGATGGTCACTATGGTGATCATCAAGCTTTGACCAAAGAGCATTTTGTATAATGAGGAAAAACCAAATGTGAGCTCGAGAAAACTTTGGCTGTGCTTATGTGCTTTTCCTCCCACAACGTTTCTGAATGAGTCACAGGGCTGCTTGATAGAGATGAGAGCTTTTACCAAGCAGGCGAGAAAATGGTTATTCTGCGTCATTCAAAGGTACAATTAGCTGTGTGGCAGCTTACAGAGCACCTGAATGTGTGGTACAGAGCCAGGATGGTCGCTATTGTTGATTTTTGGTAGAAGAAAAATAAATAGTGGGTGCAAAGCCGGGTATTTTCTTCATTATAATACAAATAAAACAAAAAGGCATTTATGAATCCTCTTTTCTTTATTTAATTTTTTTTTTGTGTGTGTGTTTTTACTTTTTGTTACATCGTTTTGCGGTTGGACGTGGAGGAAATTACGTTATAAAGGATTGTTTGTTTGTGGACAGCAACTTCACTCAGCCATAACTTTAGCAGATCGTTTTTCATAAGCAGAAATGCTAACAGAACATAAGTATTGTTTGCTATAACACTTGTGTAAAGGAAGATAGGAAAAACTTACAACAGAAGCTGACTCTTCACTTTTTTTCTATTTATGTTCAATAAATTGACTGATTGGTCAACAGAAAAATAATCATTAGATGGATTTGAGTTTCAAATGTATGTATTTTATGTAGGTTTTATTGACTAGCAGGGGCTTTTAAAAGAAGCAACATTTGAAAGACAACGATAACTCTTTATTTTCACATTCAAATCTCAAGTCAGGTAGACCCAAATACACCAGAAAAAAAATCTAAAAGGCTCTTAAGGTACGAATAACTTGTGATAAAATATGTTTTGTAAAGTTTTTTAATGGCTTAATATAATATTTTCACAAAATCTCATTGTGGTCTCATCTCCGATCAAGTTCTTTATATCAAGGAGAAATTTATTTGTACAATGAAAATTCACATTTATGAAATTATGGAGGGTTAGTAACATAACAACTAGGGACAAAATTAAGTTAGAACATTTTTGCTGTTTGCTAAACTCTGAAAATGTTTTGTCGTCATAATTATCTCCCGTGTCGACTTTGTCATTCTGAGACCTATTCATTTCTCCTCTTCCTGTCACTGTTCTTCTTTTACATAACATGAAAAAAAAAAAACCATAATAGCAGAGCTCAAATCTATTTTCCCACAAAGGCTGGACTGAAAAACGCCTCCGTGCTCATTATTCTTAACAACTGCTTTCTGTGCTTTCGGTCTGTGTTTCCTCAAAATAGTCTTAGTAAAAGCAGATGAAAAACTAAACTGGAGATGGGAGAGTGACGGCGATGTGTAAGGTTCGAAGAACAGCCCAAAAGTTCTTTGTGGGAGTGGTCCAGTGAAAATAAAAGATTATTTCACTAAGAAGATTTTTTTTTCATGTCATAATTGAAATAATCCGCCAGCTGAACTAGAACTTTTTCACAAACATTGAGTAATTATCGACTTAAACAAATTCCCTTATCTGTGAAAAGTTACTTGTAAGTTAGTTTTGTCTTAATTCAAGTGTAGTAAGATATTTGCACTTTGAATTAGCCCAAAAATACTTCATAAGATTTTGTATTTTTGTAGTTGAACTTAAAAATTGCTGCTGTTATCTTTTTATTCCAATCGGCACGTCATTACTAGTATAGCCAATGACAACATTTGCTATTGGCTATGAATGACAACAACTAAGGCTACTATTGACAAATTTTGTAATTCAAGCTTTGTTCTAAGAAACACTTTCAACAAGTCATCTATATGTAAAATCTTGGGCTGTTTTAAAGCCACACGCAGCTTGATTTCCACTTTAACTGATTTTTCTGCATCGCTAATGTTTATATTCAGCTTGATTCCATGAAGATGTTGGCATTAAACTTTGGTTTGGTCCATCCTCCCATCCTCCATCACGATGAAGGAGAAACCTTAATGTTCCCATAAGTGATAACTGGTTAACCTCTTTATTTTGCTTTCACTTCTTAGCATTTGTGGGCTTTCAAGTTTAAACTAACGCAGTATTTGTTTGGTACTTGTGCGTACTGAGGGCTGTCCTGACACACATGCACAATGTGCACACGTCTGGAAGTGCTTCTCCATGGCTGTGCCTGTCGCCTCACTTATTCTCAATTTTTCTCTTTCTGCCTTGTGCTCCTGTTTATCTGCATTGTGACAGAATTTTTTGTTATCATTAAATAGTAATCTCTTCAGACGACTGCACAAGTTACAAAACATGACCTTGTTAGGTCATGTTCTTCATGCAAGCGCATGAAGAACATGCAAATTTCAAGACATTCTTGCTGTGAGAAAGCCAGCAGTAACACTGTTCAGCCCATCATTCCAGATTTCAACGATTAGAAGGTTTTTGCACTCTTCTAAGAAGTTGTGTTTGTCTGCAACTGGTTTACAGCTATCTTACAAGACGAGGTGTGTCTTCAACCAGTAGTTCATGCAGCATATTAATTACTACAGAATTATCAGCTTTCAGGACACAATCCGCTACAACCAGGACCAAATAGCCTTGTCTGGGTCAAGGAGCCTGAGAGGTAACCCCAGTTTGCCCTTCAGTAGAAAAAAGAAAATAAAAAAAGAACATGTCTGTTATGGGAATAGACCTTTCCACTTAAATTCAATTTCTCAAGAGACATAAAGAATTAGATAGAAGTATAGGGAATGTTCTGTGTCACTTATACAGAAGAAGAAAAAGTAAAAATGAGGGACTAATTTAACTTTCTAGGGGGTCGTCTCGTCTTTTTGTGTCAAGCTGCTTTTACTGTTTGTACTCTTCCTCAGCTAGCTGAATTCAAATTACGTTTATTCATGGACAGGAATGGGCTCCCTGTGTTTCCACTCTAAATTAAAGTTAGTCACATTCAACTGGACGAAGGATCAGAGAGGTCAACTCTCTTTAGTTCTCCAACAATTAACAAAGGAAAAGAACAGAAAAGAGGGTCTCAGTAGATACTTTTGAAGCTGGTGGCGTGAACCAATAGAAGAAATAGAAAAGTTTGGTTCATTTTTGAAGAGAAGAAAATTAGTTAAAAAGAAATTGATATAAACAGAAGATGGTAACAGATTGCACAGAGAACTCATTAAAAAAATGATTTTCAAGAACCACAAAAAAAAAAAAAAAAAAAATATGCCTGGCTTTCAGATGCACTGGGTGACTGGTGTTTTGAACAGCAACATATCACTTCATCGACTAAAATCTAATGAAAGTAAATTGTGTTTCTGTCTTCCTGAGGATGTTGATAAATGGTGGGATTCAAACAGGGGAGCATCACATGTCCCAAACCACAGGAGGTTTTGTCTGGAAAATCAATGCCACTTCTTGGTAAGCAGTGTCTCTTCTACATTAGACATTTCTTTAGACACAATTGGGATGTTTCACAGTTGATGGCAGAATGTTGGTTTTCATTATTGCTCGTACAGCCGTATGATTTGTTGATTGGCAGGCTTTACATAATTACTCCAGGAGTAGACTGCTTTGAGTCCTTAGTCTAATTTACTCTTCCCTTCAGCCACAACAGTGTTTGTTCCTCAGTGCTGCTGATCTGTTGTTGTTCTTGTTAATGTTTGTGACTTTTAAACAACCTACGTCCCAAAGGAGTGAAAACTAAATGTTCAACATTTTCCCCCTTGAATTTCTTTCTTTGCCACTGGCTGTTTTTGTCAGTTTGCTGTCTCCCAATTGGATGCTCCCGACACCAGGTGTGCTTCATCCATGGGAAATTAACAGGGCGAGGTAAAAGTAAAGCATTTCAAATTAAAAGAATGTAAGTAAGACTGTAGGTCAATGATCAAAAACTAGTTTAGTGTTTTTGGCACAAATTTTGCTCAAACTAATGTCAGAGACTGGTACACAGATACAATTAAAACGATCTGTTACGGAGTTGGATGTTCTCTTAGCTAGAAAATACATTTTTCCTGATATTTTTTTGTTCAATTAGCTAAACGAGATACATTTTCCTTATGTTTCCTTGTGATAAAACCACCTTCTTTTAGAAAACTAAAAAGAAAAACGGAACGACCGCGGATAGTCTCAAATTAATGAAGCAAAATTTAAATCTTGAGTTAAATAAATTCAATGAAACATCTGTGAATGATCAAAAACTGATTTTAAATATTAAGTAAAGCTTAAATCAACTTATGTTAACGTAAGGTGATAGAATAAAAACTATAAAACAAATAAAGAAAAAAAAATCATTAGCAGAAAATCTTTTAAATATGTGTAGATTTAAATGTCAGATTTATTTTTTTTTTATTTAGTTTCAACTTTACACCACACCTTTTTTTGTTTTTTAACACATGTGAATAATTTCGGAAACATAAACTCCCAGGTCATTTCATCTCTACATACAATGCTTGATCAATTCCTCCTCCTCCATGCTGCTTCCTGGCCTGATTACAGTGTATAGTAAGTACAGCCGGGTAGTGCTTTGCACTCTCGCGCCGAGCTGAACTGCCTTATTACAGTTCTATCTCCTCTCGACAGTCAGTACCGATCCAAGTCATTAGACAGCAGAGTGCCTGCTTGAGAGCTCACTGGAGCAGAAAGATAGAGACTGGAAAGGTGGTAGAGGGCAGGGGAGGGGCGCAGAAAGAGAGGAATAGCAGATAAAAAAAAAGAGGAGGAGGTGAACCAATGCCTCACTGTCACTGTCTGGTGAGGATAGCATCAAAGCGGGACGAGGGAAGACGAAAGAGGGGGAAAAGAACAAGACTGATGTTGACTAAATACGGTGAAACATTAGAGGAATTCAGGAGTGAAATGTGAGAACACAGACCAGTGCTGATGGAGGAAGTCTGAAAGGAAAAGTAAATTGTGTTGAAGAAAAGAAAGAATGAAAGTTGAAGCAAAGAGTGCAGAGTGTGGGCAGCAGAAAAAGACGCAAAAATGACATGACGAGGCAGGATGGAAAGCGGCAGTGAGTCAGAAATAGCGAAAGGCTGGATCGAAGGAAAATAAATCCAGTCACACTTAAGCAGAGTGGAGAAAGAGAGAAAATTGAAGAAAAAGTAGCACTTGAGGCCGACTTGAGAGTTGCTGTCACTGTCTGTCTGAGGTGAAGAGTCTGTAGCTGGGAAGAGCAAAGGAGTTATCCTGGCAAACACTGATGTGTCTTATCTTTGGATTGAAGGGTGCATTCGCGCGCTGTCAAACAGGAAGAGAGTCCCACGTCTGAAACATGCCAACAGACTTCACACGACTGTCAAAGGTTCAGGTTACTGTATGAACCGAAAGGCAATAGAGAGACAATATTCACATTGTTGCAACTAGACGCATTTTTTTTTATTAATTATTGTGATGTACACACTGATTCAATAACATCTAATTACCATTATGCAGAAATTAACTAATCATAGCACATTTAAATATAGAGGACTTTCTCTTTGGAATAATCTACCACCAACTCTTCAATCCAGTGGTGGAAATCATTAAAAAAAAATTAAAAATCTATTTGATTTTGTTTGTCTCTTTTAAATATTTTTTTATTTGACTTTTTTTTTTATTCCTGCTGTTATGAGATCTAGGTTATATGGGAGGTGGCCTTATGAGACCTCAGGGTTTTCTTGACGTTTCCTGCACAGACTATTCAAGAGAAAAATGGGTAACACTTTATTTGAAGGTGGGTGAATAAGACTGTCATGACACTGTCATAAACACCTGTCATGAACATGAATAAGCCTTCATGAATATTTATGACTGTTGTCATAAAACGTCATTCGGTAAATTATGACACTTTTAATACAAAGTTGACATTATTCAAAATTTCTTTGTTATGACAACTTGACATTAACCAAGAAATCATTACTGATATAAATTTGTTATAAAAGTATTACTGATTGCACTTTAAAAATTAGGTAACTTTATGTTATTAAAGGTAAAGTTTAAACAGTAATGATTTATTACTCTCTGGCACTGTAGAAACTGCTGTCTGTTTATTAGACTAGGTGCAACATGACACATCCTCTGAGCCCAGACCCTGTTTTCAGTAGGTATGAGAAGTCCAATCGTGAGCAGACACCTAAACATTTGTCATAATTTTGTATTTAACAGATGTGACTCACAGCTCAATGTGGGGGCGCACAGCGTTGGACACTGACACTTTTATTAATTAAGTGTGCTCTGAAAAAAAATAAAAGAATGTTCTCAGTATGTAGGCAAAATGTAGCCTGACTAGTTTTAGCTTTTATGTTGTGACACTAAAATTCAATGTTTTATTCTTATTTGATAAAGTGAGTGCTCCTTGATGAAGTTTTTCACTCAGTCCAAATAACATAAAACGAGAAAATCAGTATCTTTACTATTTAAAGAGTAATAAATTGTTCACATTTTTGATTTTCTATTAGCCAGTGATTTTTTTAAGTTGACTGTCTGATGTGAAATAATCTCTCACGTTATTCCAGATCTTCTTCTGATTGGCTGATGAACGCCTAGTGACGGCTCGTTCTCCTCAAGATTATCTCTCCAATTGAGCTGTCCAGTTTTTAGTAAGGAGTCCACCAGTAAACATCGTCCTACTAAGTTACTTTTCACCCTTTTGGATTTGACTGTGATAAATATTGTTTCTATCTTATTTGGCTATTTTTGTGTAAGATCCCAACTTTCCCCCATCCAGCCTTAAATGCGTTTTTAGCACCACTTCTCTAGGAAAGTTTCTCTTAACGACTAAGCTAACTGCAAATCCAACAATATGTGCCAGAACAAACAACCTTTAAGCTTTAGAGTGGCTTTCTGGCTGAAAAGAAAAGTAAATCTGTCTGGGCTCAAATTTTCTTGACAGCTCAGCTGAGAGATAAACGTCTACATTAGCAGACGTTTAGTCGGTTCTGTAAGAGAGGCATTGGCCTGACTGTGCATAGAAATAGTCCTATTGAACTATTGTATAACTGTTTACTTACCTGTGGATGTCGGATTGTTTAAGTTGAAGATGAAACTTAAACATCAACTCTACTTAACCCGTTAGGATCACTCATGGAGTATTGAGTCAGACGATCATTTATTATTGAAGAAAAACTAAACACGGCCTGTGACTTTAATGAAAAGTAACCTCCACTTGACCCAGCAGAACACTGTGGACTCCACCCCATTGATCTCCAGCAGAGATGCACTTTTCACAGTGGGAGATGATTAAAAGCATCCACCACACTTTAAAGATACCACACTTCTTCATTTTCTCACATTTATATTCATTTAACGTGGTTTTTTTTTTTTTTTAAACACAAGCATAGATTGCAAGGTGAGAAAGACGGTCAGCAGAGTTGATGCCACTCTGCTCTGGTGCAGTTTTGGTTCTGAGAGCTGACGGGTTCAGGTGGTTAGGAAAGGCTGAATTCACTGCCCTTCTTTGTTTCCTGTCTTGAATTGACGTCGAAAAGAAAACAAAATGATAAAACCCCTTCTGAAAGACGGCTAAATGCTTTCTGATCAATGCAGATAATAAGATTTTATACTTGAGGCATCATCATGAGATGTCTGTCTTGAGGTAGAATTAAAGCAGAGTTGTTTGTTCTGAGTCTTGCTTAATAAATCATTTTTTTGTACGTTTGATTGATAATAGATTTTTGTTCCAGTTGAATGTCCTTCTTGATCTTGAGCTAACTTATATTTATCTTTCATTAATTCTGAAAAACTCTTAGAGAAACTTTAGAGGAATATGAAGAAGTCCCATTCCCTGTTAGACATGATCACTCTCTACATCCTGAAGGTTGTAGATCAAGAATTATCTTGTGACATTTTTTTCACAAGATAAAAATGTTAGGTCACTGTCTACCTTTTTTTGACAGCTTGTAGCTCTCAATCCCTCTCAATCCCTTGTTCGCTGTCCATCCCTCTGCTCAGTCTTTTCAGTTTTCAGAAAGGGACCGACAGCTTTTTCTTCCTCGCAGTGACTCAAGGAGCCAGGATGACTCCTGCAGACATCCCTCATCAGCAAAATGGTAGAAAGGTAAACAAACCAAAACAAATTATTTTATCCTTGCGCATGTCATTGAATTTGAATCCATTTTAAGAAATTGTACTGTTCTTGTAATATTTGCACTGTAGCTTTATTGCATGTGTATTTTGTTGACGTCATAACATATATAAATGTTAAGCACAACATTTATGTGATCTACACCCTCCTTTATCTTTATACAGTAACTTTAATAAGTCACTTAATAAGTTATTTTAAATTAAGTAATGGTTAATTTAATTTAATTTAATTAATTTAATTTAATTTAATTTAATCTAATCTGTAGCTCTATGCCTAACATTTCAAACCTTTCTGAATATTTGGAAAGTGTTCATAACCCTTGAAATTGTCCACATTTTAGCAACATTTTAGTGGGATTTTTGGGAAACCAACATAGAGATCTCAATAAGACACTTTACATTTTTTTTTTAGATAAGTACATACTTTTTATGGTCTGTTTTTTTTTTTTTCCGAACTGCAATGGAATTCAATATCCAGTTTGTGAAAATGTGCACAGCAAAATCTTTACCAGCAGCACCAGCAGTATTTGTTCTTGTCCTCTTTACTGACCTTAAAAACTCATAGAAAACTCATGAAAACCTAAATCCGCAGTGTGGTGTCCTGTCAACTATATTCCAGAAGGACATATATCCAGTGCAGAGCAGCACCAGGTGCTGATGTCATGGTTTGCAACAAACAGGGTCCTGGGTTCACAGCTTTATCTATGTTGATGTTGGAAAAGCAGGGAAAAAAGAGATTAAAAAGCAAAACATTCGCTGCACACAATATTAATCTTCTGTTTACAACATACTGATGATAATATGAATAACTTCTCTCCAGTAATTATTGTTTTGCTTGCATATTAATGCTTAGTCCTTTTTTAAAAATTATGCCAAAAGCAGGAAAAGAAAAGTTCTGTCACACAGGTCAAGGGATGCAATGCAGATTCACAGGAAGGCAGATAATAGTTCTGACGAACTGTTGAGGAGGCTGGTTACAAAACAACACATTGGTGAATACATTTACATTTTGATGTTACCTCTCCTCTAAAACCTGAAGCTAAATCCTTCCTGACAATACCCTCTTCAGTTTTCTAAATCCATGTTAAATGTTCCTCTTTATGCATGCATACTGCTGGTTCTACTTCATCCAGTAACTGGTTTACCTCGGTTTTAGTTTCTTTAGGCTTTTTGGCCATTTATCCTGTGACACTTGAAACAAATTCATAAGCAAGTCAAACAGTCAACATATTGTTGCCATGCCAGTCCATTTATGATTACAGTGCTCTTATCTTCGGATGGCTACTTTAAGAATGATAATGCAGCACGTAACAAAGCTCAAATCATCTCAAATTGGCTTCTTGAACATGATGATGCGTGCACTGTGGCCTCCATGGTGAACCAGGTTTCAGTCCAATAATATAAGTTTGGGATTCCAGCCAACAGATCGCCGGCTACTGCTTGATGCTTTGACGTCGATAACGGACAAAAATATCTGAGGAAGGTTTCTAACACCCTGTTGAATAAATGCCACAAATAACTGAGGCAGCTCTGAAAGGAAAAGCCCTTCCAGGCAGGTACTTACTAAATGTACCTATAAATAGGTCTGTGAGTCAATAATAATGTTTATCCATCAAAGCAAGTAAGATGATGATGGAAGAGGGAACAAAAAAAGAAAAATAAATTAAAAATACACACAAAAACACATGCACATATTTTCCATTTTCATTTAACAGTTGTTGTTTGGCTGTTTAGCTTTTCTTTTTTTAATGATCTAATAATGTCCAGCCATTCCTGCTGACATTAGAAAACAAACAAACAAAACAAAACAAAACAAATAATTTTGAGTTATTTTTAGTCCAAATAAAGATGCTGCTTTCTCAGTTCAGAATAAAACCATCCACATAGACGAGCGTTAGTGATATTACTTAACATGCACCCAAACACAAAGAAAATGTAATGGATTTACCTAAAAAAAAGCAACCTGTCCACACCTGGGACAGTACATTGGTGCTACTTTTAATCTAAGTAAGTGCGATGTATAGTAGTCTTCTTTCAGCAAGCTGGCTGGAAGCTGCAGTGAAGGTGGAAGACTGCATTACTCTACCCTAAACCGAGGTGAAACAGGATGCAAATATTTAGCTGTTCAGAAATAATAAACTTTCAATATTAGTGTACTTTGCTGCCAGTTTCAGTTCTGGCTTATGGGAAATCATATGCCGACGTTCTTCTGCACCCTGAACAACAGAAGAACAAAAATAGACTGTGGCATCATGGGTCATGATATTTCAGCTAAAGAGATTCTTATGTTTTAATTAAAATAAAGTTAAGTAAGATGATAAATCAAATTAAACAGGTATGCAAAGATTGAAAGTACCTGCTGGGAAGTTGATGCCTTTTCTAAGAAAAGGTCATTAAGTTGTGGATCATATTTTCCTTTGGAATGCAAAATTATATTTGTGCCAAGGTGGAAAATTTTCTTTTGCACACTCTCCTCTGCTGCTGTGCAACACCTCTAATTCCTCCACTATCAAAGCCATTGCAAGTGCAAACCTTCAAATATGCTTTTCTATGTTAATGTTGCACCTTTGGTTCCCTAAGCCTCACCAAAACAAACTCAGTGAAATAATACCCAATCCAACTTCTTTCACCATGGAAAAAAAACAAAAAAAACTGTAAAACATATGCAGTGAAGCCAGGTGCAGAAATCACAGTTCTGACACCTTCCAGGTGTTAACTTGACGCTGCCAAAAAAACAAAAAAAAAAACAACCGAGCTTTAAAAAATGCACAAACCTGATTTTTTTTTAATGCTATGAAAGCAGGTGTAATATTTCAGAAAATGTCATAAAACAAAATACCGACAAAGTTCCAGGATTTAAAAGTGTACCATAGGAAGCATAAGCAAGTGTGCAGGAGTCAGTGAACTACAGTAAAGGTGTAATGAATTATTTAACAGCCTATATTCATCTGTCACATCACATCAGCTCCCAAGAGGCCTTGACTTGCTGAACTCAAATTCTGTGGAGCATTTGGAAAAATATGTCTCTCTTAATTCAGTTAGATTTCAGATTATTAAGTAACAGAAACGAAGTGTTTCCAATTGCATTGGATAAAGAATAAACAGGACTTTGGATTGGATACGGAAAACACTTCAAGTGCATCTCATTTTGAAAGACTGCATCGTACTCAGTGAAACCACCATCACCAGGTGCCTTAACATGACAGCTTTATACTGGATGCTTGAAACTGACTGGGAGCAAGTGTGCGTCCATCTATCAGTTGTCTTTACCCACGTCTGGCTCCTTTATGTCAGTCCGATTTCCTTCACTCGCATGTCCTGGTAGGTCTGATTGTACAAAATTTAAAGATTCTGTCAATCTGTGGCGTTGAAATGGTGCAATGTTCTTCCATAATGTCTTCAACCACTTGAAGCTCAAGGTGTATTTTTGTACTTAGACATTTCTAATTTCCAACTAATTTCTCTGCGTTTTTCTCATATGTTTTGTAGGTTATTATTATATGGATGTATTTTAACTTGCGAAGTGCATTGTTAGTCCAATCTGCGGGAAGAGTTACATGAAGAAATTTCACTTGCTGCCTCTCTATATGGTTTACCTGAAATGCCAAGAAAAAATAAAAGTGAAATAAAAAACTAAATTCTGTGCTGGGTTTTGGGTTTGTTATCACTCCGTAATTATTTATGCCCTCATAATTTTCTGATTGAGCTCAGAAGTTAAAGTGACAGAAGAAACAAAAACCTCAAGAGAAAATACAAACGTTTGGGGGATTTAAACATTTTAATTGATTCTTGTGAAAAAGACAAATATTAATATCGTGTAAAAATGATAATACAAATTATACATGAATAATATCACTGTAGGCCTGCTGTCATGAGACGTCTGATAAAACACATGTTTTTGTTTTGTAGCCACTCAAATTGTTACTAGATAACATTAACACTTAGAGATCTACTTTAACTCTAATAAATCTATTTGTTAAGATAGATTTATTAGATCTGCTACGAGCAGAAGAGACATGCACAGTGTGCTTCAATTGTTTTGTTTTTCATAGTCCATGTAATGATGTCACACTGTGATAACTATGATAACAGGTTTGTTCTGATTACAGCGGTAAAATGGATTTTTTATTATTTTTTTTCTCTATGAAATGGCATCCTTTATGGGTCTTTAATTTCATTGCACCTGCATTAGCTGAATGTCTGCTGGGCCACACCGACTCATGGAAACACATTAGGCACAGGTGACTAACAACACGTGAAACAACTGGATAAAAGGAGTTTGTCTAAACGAGGTCTTTATCTAACGGCGACAGTATTATTTGCAGGTGAACCGAAGCGTCGTTTACAGCTGAAGGACGAACAAAGCAGTTTAATTTTCCTACTCTACATGTCGTAGCTATAGCATTTACAGCCTTAACTGAAGCTTAAGGGTGTAATTTTGGAATGGTTTGGTGAAAATGCCTATGTCGAAACTGCAGTGCCTTACAAAAGTACTCGCATTCTGTGGTCGTTTCTGCATTAACTCATCCAGACACTTCAAGTGTTCTGGGGTGATTTTATGCAAATGACTGACACAAAATAACTTCAGAAATCCATTCATTGTTCAGTCTGAGGAGCTGTTGGTTCTTGCAGAAGAAAAAAAAACGTTCCCACAGCATGATGCTGACGCCACCATGTTTCATGCTCGACATGGTGAGTTCAAGGTGATTTGCAGTATATTTCAAACGATAGCCAAAATCTAACAGTTCAAAGAACGGCTACATTGTGTTGGTGTTGTCGCACAGAATCCCCCTAAAAATACACTCAAATTGTGAATTTTAAACAAGATATCAAACAGATCACCGGGTAAGAAGACTTTTGCAAAGCACTGTCAAAATGGTAGTCTATAAATGTTGATGAAAACTCTGAATTTAAATTCAAATTAAATTTTGGAATATTTGAAAAAGAGACAAAAAAAGAAGAGATTAAAAAAAGTTAATTCTCATTCTAAATAAACTTAATGTCTTTTACTTGAGCTATACATAATTAAAGGATTGAAAGACACACAACCATCATTTTTTTAAATCTCTGTTTACAATTTGATTCCTGCAAAACCATCCATGGCTAATCCAAGGTGTCTGGCTCAGCGTCCATGCAGGATTCCCAGGGGTTACGAGGCATGTGGGGCATTGAGATAAGAAGAAGGGAAGCTCCACTGAGGATGAGGAGGGTGAAGGAGGCGCAGGCACAGGTAAAGGACCAGGAGTAATAGTATTCAATCCAGATGGTCTCATCGCTATCGATCATTCGCTTGACAGACTGTCGCATCACTTCGACGGAGATGATAATGCAAAGGCCTGCATGCGAAAACAGGAAAGAACTCCATTTGTTCAATTCATCCAACAAAAAGACGCATTAGCTTTAAAGGAAAAAAAAAAGGTCTATAAAAATCAGCACTGTGTCGACAAATCACATATATTTCAAACTCAGAAATAAGATGAAAAATAACACGATCACATCTGACCCGCGAAGGCAAAGAACATCCCGGCAGGTCGGAGCAGGTAGTCTCGCCCTTTTCCGAAAGAAAAGATCACACACAGAGTGCCCAGAATCATGAAGAACAGACTGAAGATAGCGATGGCTGCAGCTGAGATATTGTACTCTTAGGAGGGAAAGGAAACAAATTTAAGATTTAGAAACCAGAGGAGCCAACAAGGAAACATTAAAAAAGAAAAAAAAAAAAGAAAGAAAGAAAAATCTACCAAAGACAAAAAGGTTGAAAAAAACTGGATGAGATGATCGGATCAGTGTGGAGATTAAAAACTGGGACTGTGTAAGATAATAACTGTTTCAACGTAGCACTGAGCTGAGTTATGAACCGGATAATTAGCCTTTAAATTAGCCCCACTTTAAAAAAAACAAACAACAAAAAAACAGACATTAATCCAAACCGTTACTAAAACCATTTGCATGACAGACAAGATGCTGCAGGCTTTTAACAAGATGATTAGGACATGTCTCTTTCTTCCCGCCTTCTCTCTCTCTCTTTTCTTCTCAGATAAAGATAATCTGCTTTTTGCTTCTCTGTAACACTCCAGCTGAGATAGAAACGATCCCATTTCACCTCACAGTCCCAACTGTTCAAACACATCTGGCGGAAGGATTCCTCACATTTAGGCTCTTCAGCACATTTAAGAAGTTTTGTTTGTGTGCAGAATTTCTGACCTGTCTGTCTTAACTTTATTTAGGTAACATTAAAGCAACATGCATATTTTTTGCCTCTGCAGATCCAATTTAAGTTGAATCTATACGTTTCGCATATTAAATGATCGAGATGTAGCAAAGCCGTGTTCCCCATATGCAAAACGTGTGTTTAGCATTTTCCACATCTGAGATTTCACACTCACTTTTGATCAAGTTTTCAGGTGTACTTTTAAAAATGTTGTATTTATGTTTTTTATATGTAAATGTCAACTGAAATGTGTCAATTCACAACATTTCCAATTATACCTTAAAAACTAGGAAATATTTTTCCACCATTTCAGTTTATCCTTTCAAAGTATGAGTAACTAAAAGCAAACTGGGAATTGATCCGTCGGATGATTAACTCTTGCTCAGAGCTTTGTTGCTGTTGGATATTAATATTTCATCCTTTTTGGACTACAAATAGGAGACAGAAGGTTTGCAGCACCAAGCTCTCGTTCCTTAGAGCATTTCTGTGCAAATTCATGTGCACATGACAACACGTCAGATTTCTTTGCTCTATATTTTATTTAATTTTTTATTTTTATTTTTATTGGATTTTTTTTTTTTTGCCTCTCTTCAGTGGAAAGAAATAAAACTTCCTTTGCTGTGCCATTAGAAGCAAATTAGTTTTTACATTATTAAAATATTACTCTCATCATTTTACACCGTTGCTAAAAATAAGAACATTTCTGCCATACAAGCCTAATTATATAATAGAAGTTGATGATGGTATGTTTACAAGTGTGGTCTTTAATTGAAAACATTTGTCAGGATGCTGCTGTTTCTTTCACTCAAACGCGATGAGATAAAACCCAATAAATCAGGAAGAATTGCATATAAACAAGTTTGCCATTACAAGTGTGTAAAAAGTAATTTGCTCCAAATTCCCATCTTGTTTTTCTTAGAACCCTAAAAGTGGCATAAAGAGTCGCTGTCATGTTGATCATATGTCCAATATCTCCCTGCCTTTACTATCCTCTCTTTTTCTCTCTTACATTATTAGATGTTTCTGTTGGTTTTAAAACATAGACAGTGTGGTGAGTTACTGAAGATCCACCCACCTTTTTGGGTCTTCACTTCAAAAACCTCAGCTTCTTCTCCCGATGTGAAGTGTTTGAAGTAGGAGCAGTTTTTTGCTGAAGAGTAAAAGACAGTGAGGAGGGGGGAGCAAGCAGACAGAAAGAGATATGAGGGACTAAAGGCAGAAAACAGATTGCATCCCTTTGCATTACCAGCCATTGTTCTGTGTTATAAACTTTCAATGAACCTCGTGAATAAGTATAAAATTACACTGACATTATTAGGACACAGAAGACTAAGGGGTGAATATTTTTTGCCAAGTACCATTAAAACACTGAGTGTCTATTTTACTGAAAAATGCTTAACTGGTGTTTCTCAGTGAACACTGTCAAAAAGGCTTTTTGGGTTTTTATAAAGGACACGTTGAGTTAAACGTTTTATTCATCCAAATCTGGATCATTGAAGGAGATTAAGACTTCTGTCTTAAAGGTAACTTCCTCAACGCAATGCCCAGTTAATGGATTTATCCACAGAATATTCGCTTTTGAGATCATCAGATGAAAACCTGTGGAGAAATTCAACAAGTGACCAATAGGCTCATGTGAGGATGAGAATATCTTTCATTGTAACTGACAGCACATTTTTTCTTCCTTTGTTCCTTCCTGTGTACATTTTAAAGTATTTTGCAACCACAGCATACTGCATCCAAACATAGTTTTGTTGTAATTGTGAAGACATCTTTAAATAGCAAAGTCAATATTCAGAACAAAGACACATTTACATTAGTCTTTTTTGGAAAAAGACACTTTTGGCTTAAAATCCCTTAATATATCTTTCAAATTTCTACATTTATAAATAAAACAATAATAATTTATGCAAGTAATGTAGATCTTGATTGACTGCCTATCCATTGTATGTTTGACATCCCTTCCAAATCTCAGCAGCATTTCTATAACTTGTAATCAATTTTATTTTGAAAGAAAAGCTAATATTTTCTGTCATCCATGTTACTTGGATTCAAATTCACACATTTCTTCATGAAGTGCAACTGTGAATGTGTTGCATTTTACTTGCTGAGCCACTAGTATTTTGCCCCACAATAGTTTGATATTTCCCACAGGTTTCTCCGTTAGATCGGTTATTTTCTGCTCCTCCATCTATGAGCCGTCTTTTTAAAGGCATCTGGGAGGAGACGAAAGGTTGACAACGACCTAAAGGCCAAGCAAGCGTTCCCTCTGTTCTACACCTGCTATCATTTCTCGGTGAGATTAAACTCATAAAACAGGCAGGTCCCTTCTCTGTCCCTTCTCTGTTTGTGTGTTGGTGTCTGTGCACAGTGTGTGCGTGTCCACGAGGCAACAGAGGAGCTGTTTGTTAACCAGGATGAGAAGGAATCACTAAAAGGGGTAACCTAGCAACAGGCTGCTGCAGGTCTTGGCTAGTTCTGTCTGTTTACACATGTAAAGGCATATATGAAGAGAGCTTTGGATGCATATGCCTGTGCTGCTTGTGCATGGAAAAATGTACGTGTGGCCACGCAGGAACTCCAGAAAAGTGGAGGCAGGGTCACAGTGCAGCTGAGACGTGCAAATATATTATTTTCATTTCGTCTTTTCTCATTTGCTGCCTGCACCTCTGGGGCCAAGCTAATCTCCGCTAATATGTGTTCGGGTTGAGCTATATTGTTTTCTCCAGTCTTTATGAAAACAGTTTTCTGCCTAATACACAAAGATGAGATAAGAATAATAGTTCAGAGGAGCTTTAAACAATGAAGTTTTTTTTCTTCTTCATCAAGATTGATTAAGACTGGGAAAGCAGGTGGAAATAAAGTCACATTTCTGTCTGCAGCTGCAGAGATCTGCTTTAACTTTAACTTAAAATCAGGTTTAAGATTCAAAATTTTGTGGCCTTACTGCTGTGGTAGCATCAATCCTTACCAGGTGATTTGTCACATATAGGTTATTATCACTCAAAATATATTAAATCTTAATCAATAGAATCTTAGTGCTAAAATTCATTTTTACTTATTTAAAAACCTGAGTGTTGCTTTTGCTTTGGTTCTTTTTGGTGATGCAAACATGGGACTGCTGTTCTGTTCAGTTTGTCTATTTGTCTTTATCAAATAAACCTAAATAAAATAAAATAAAATAAAATAAAATAAAATAAAATTAACTGAAAGCAAAAGTAGCTATTGCATCTTACACTGCCACACACAAATTCCAGTAAAGGTTAAAGTAAACCTGTGTCACCCTTGCAGATTTTATTTAAAAAATTAGAAGCAAACTCTTATGTTTTTTGCCACTTCACAATTTTGTCCTACTTCCTGTAAGCCTATCACTCAAAATTTTAACATATTGCATTACTATTCTTTTTGTTTTAATGTGAGAAAAAGTAAAAAACTTAAGGTGTATAAATACTTTTGCAAGGTGCTGCAGTTAGATCAGTTTTCATTAGTTTGATTCTTCTTGTTTCTTTTTCCTCCTGTAAACTGACTGTCTGGTCAATTAAAAAAAAAAAAAAAAAAACAGAAAAGGCACATTTACCTAGAAGGAGAACATCTGGGTGCGTATCATCGACCTTGCAGTCTTGCTAATGGGAAGATTTAGTTCCAGGGGGAGGATGATTAGAGCGAAGTGTTGCCTGTCATTTTAGTTTCACCTCTTTCCATTTTAACTGTCTCCTTCTCTCTTTGATGTGGCGCCTCTGGTTTACCAGCTCCAGACTCACTCTGTTTCGCAACATCTCACATTTTTTCCGTTTTTGTTTGAAATTCAGTCAGCCATCCGGTGCCTACGTACGTATAAGTAAGTCTTTGTTTTGAGGGCTTTTGCTCACGGTTTGTGTTGAGGTTCTTTCACAGAATGACCAACTAGTTCAGGGTCAGTGTGAAAAACATGCACTGTGATATTTGAACAGCTATTCCACCAGGAGCTCCGATAACCGGGACAGAACAACGCGGCAGAATCCCCGGCTGCCTCAGCATGCTGACCTTTCATGACGACAGTCAAAGGTTTCATTGTCATCATCGTGAGCACGTTTTGTTCCGTCTATTCTGGGTCTTTTACATTTTGAGAGTGCTTATTCAAATTTTGTGTCTGTAAGTGCTCCATGCTGCGACAGGCGGAGGCCAACGCCTTTACTGCAGCCTTGTTTGGCTTTCCACTCAAAGCAGGAAGCCGACACACAAGAGAGAGGGAAATAATTGAGCGGAGAGAAGGTGAAAAGGCTCAAGGGGATATTTGTGCTTTTGAGTATAAATTCTGGATATCATCAAAGTGCTTGGCTTCTGAAAATGAAAAGCAGAAAGTGGAAGATGTTTTTTCTGTAAAGATGCGCTCTGGGGATACTTTCTTTCCGCAGAAGGACTGGGAAGCGTTAATGCATGTCCACCTTGAAGCTCTGGAACATATTCGATAATAAACCTGTCTCTGTTGCCTCTTTGAGCATGTATGCATGTGAACATGCACATGCACCCAAAAGGTCCATTTGTCCTCTTTATTTCCCAGCCGTGCTGCGCGGTGTGCTCCATAAAGGGTTTGTTTGATTTTTACAACACTCCAGCTGTCATGCGTCATTTCTGGGAAGCTAATTTTGAAAGCCGTTTGGGTTCACAGTTTAGCTGCTCTTGATACACAACCGCTTATCAACAGCAGAGTAGATAGAAATGAGTGTTTGTGTGCTGTCCTCTTTGCAACCAACCTCCTTGTCTTTTAGGAAAATGTTAATTTGCATTATTAAGTCTAATCACTGCTGCGTGTGTGTTGTTTGGGTCCATGATTCATGAAGGATGAAATCTCTCAGAGCACATATTGGTCAGGGACAACGCTGTGCTTTGCGTGCAGTCAGCACAGTAAACTGAGAAGCAGATAAACTAAGCAACTGGCTTTAAATCTGTTTAACAAAAATTGCATAAAAGCAGACTGCACTGCTTTAAAGTTTGTCTTACATAATCCAATGTACTGAATGTAACAAATAAGAACTGAACTTGCAGTTTTTGTGTCAGTTTTCACCAGCATTTGCCCATCAGTGTGATTCACATTTTAACCAGCACGCCTGCAAAACATTTCCACTTGGGCAAGTGAGCACTTTGTTCATTAATTTTTTTCTCCCTACTCAATCTCTCTAAAATATGCAATAAAAAAAAAAGCGAGCGGCTTTTAAGCGACACTCAAAGGATGTTTGAGATGAAGGAAAGTGGAATAAAAGGTTAAACAAGCATAAGGGAGGCCACAGATTTTCTCATGGGAATAAACGGATTGCCGACTGATTCCCATAAGTAGACTGTAGCATATTGAACTAGATGGCAAAATGGACCCTCTAACAACATTAAATAAAAGACAACGGCTTGATACTTACTGAAGTGGGGGGAAAAAAAGCTCAGCTCAAGCAGATTAACATGAAACTAAATGCAGGATTCTCTTTCAAAATATTACTTTGACAGTGGGATTTTTTTCCCCATTTTTCACCTCGGGCGATTGCAAGCGGAAGACTGCGAGAAGTTGGTAGAAGAAGAGGAGTTTAACTCTGGATGGAGATCGTAGTTTATTGATTTACAATCCAAAATGGTTACTGTTTAGGGTAAAATCAAAAGTACTACCTTCCTGGTGATAACATTTCAACCTACCTAATCTGTATTCACCTTTAATATGCAGTGGAAATTGAAGGTAATACAAAATAGCTTCAGAAAATCTTGAAAGTTTCTTAAAGTAAAAACATACTACTTCAAATCATCCCCTTGCAATGGGGAAACTGTGACAGTGCTGCATGGTGATTTAGTGAGACAAAGCAACAGCAGAGTGACTGACTGGAACCTGCCCCACAAGGAAGTATAAGCATTAAGTCGAAAACCGATAAGCCTTAAGCAAAACATTTAACCTTGATGCAAAAATTACTCAGAGACAGAAAGACAAGAAGCCATTCTTACTCATCTAAATCCCAATGAGAAAAGTATTTATTCTGCTACAACTTGAACGATACAAATGCAAGTGTTGATGTTCTTTTAAAAAAGCTCTACATTCTCTAAAGCCCTGCATTTGTGGTGCACTGGAGTAACTGTGCATGACCAAACCAGCATAAACAACCTGATAAATTGTGAGCAGAGGACACAGACTACTTACCCAATGGTAAAAGTGAAAATAATCAGGACAGAGAAAGCAATTACGAACAACGGAAAAAAACGAGAAAACGAGAACCAGAAATAAACCAAAACCAGAGAGCGTGACATTTCAGTCTGTTAGGATGCGTCTGTCTAATCACTTCTGCCTATTTCAGGTTGTTTGAATCTCACAGAAGAAATGCAGATTCTACTTTTATACTGTTACCATGTTTCAAAGAAAAGAAAACAAGAAGCAGCAGCATGAGGTTAAACAATTATTCATCCATTTTATGTATGTGGGTTTTTTTTGAATGAAGCATGACCATGAGGAAATACCGCTTCAAACAATATAACAATGCATACCGTGTCTTGTGACTGGTCAGTTTCATCTCCACAATCTGGACTTTAGGACTGCATATGGACTTTTTTATCAATATATTTTCCGCCATGTCCTTGGAGTGACATTCTCAAGGATTAATGAGAAAATCTATTTGTTCTTTCTTTTTTTTTTTTTTTTTAGCTGAGGAACATTTCTCATTTCAAACTCTGGTGTCAAAAGCTGAATTACACATGATTATTCATGCTTTTATTTCATCTCGTCTTGACTGCTGTAACCGTCCTTTCATCTGTTTGAATAAGAAAGATCTTGACCTTCTCCAGTCCATTCAGAGTGCTGCTGCAAGGCTTCTAACCAGCATGTGAAACAGACAGCACACCACTCCTGTTTTAATGTCTTTACGTTGACTATTGGTAAATTTTAAAATGTATTTTTACATTTTAGTCTTTACTGTAGACCCCTGTGAGTTAATTTGATCAAACACTCCAGATGAGTTTGGCAATAAACAAATTATGAATATGTGGAAATGCGCCACATTTCCACAGTAATGTATGATGGAAGATCTCCGGTGACGTGAGTTTTGTTTCTCTTTCGAAGAACTGAGAACTTTCTTAGCTCTGGGAGTGTTAGAGCACATAGCACTCCCATAGTAATACCACAACATTATCGGATGGCAAACAGGTCATGTTTAAGTCCTTGAGCAGTTCAATGATCCTGAATATATGGTCACCTAAATTCAGAAATTATTCACAGGACACAAAATCTGTCTTTAATGGTCATCATACCCATCGTTACCTGAATCCCACTGAAACTCTGGAGGGTAAGCTGATGAGAACAGAGTACAGGAAAGGACTCAGGACAATCTAGAGAGATTGTGAAAACAGATATTGGTCGACAACCCCCTTTCTGTATTCTTCAAAAGTGTTACATGTTGAAAGAGAAACCCGAGGCTGAATTTATTTGAAGCTCTTTACACATTTTTACCAGGTGGTTCAATAAATCTGGAGGCTGCTTTATAGTGATTAATATGTCAAACTGGACTTATGAGTCTGTCAGTTACATTTTCTGTGTCTTAACATCCAACAGGTGACGGACTTGTCCAGAGCAAAAGATGAAAGTGTGTCAGTCTGGCTTTCTGTCGAGGGTACAGTATTATCTGATCTCTCAACATGTTCTTGAAAAAAAAAAATAAAAAAGTACACCACCGTCTCACTTCCCTGGAAGACCCCTCCACACCCCTCCACCACCTCTCTCTCTCTCTCTCTCTCTCTCTCTCTCTCACTCTCTCTCTTGTTCCAAAAGTGCTCGGTGTCTCACGCTCAACAGAGGTATCCCTGCCCACGTACACCCTCCTGCTCTCTTCTCTCAATTTCTTTCATTCCTCCCGAGTCTCCCAGGTGTATTCTAACTCATGAGCTGGGGTGGAAAGCCACACTTCATTAAGGCCTGCACTGATCCTGAGGTGCTGGAGGAGCCAGAGGCAAAGTCAATGACAGAGTCAGAGTGAAATCTCACAGTTAGGCTGCAAGGCACGCATGCACAGCCAGGGGCCAGGAGACGTGGTTTCACCCAGGGGCTTGCTCTGCACAAAGAGAGTCCTCGTAATTAAAGCTATGCAGGTAATTTAAAACCTTTAAAGACACAAGCTGCAATGTTTTGACTTTTCTTTTTTTTTTTCTTTTTTTTATGACTTGCAGCTTGGAATACCATCCAATTGTGTAAAAGAGTTGACTTTATATTTGACAAGAAAAAACAGTTTTAGTTAACATTTTCCATCTGTGTTTTAACCACAACAGTAATAAACGCTATTTTCGTGCAAGATTCACATCTGATTTGATCAAAGCCTCTAAAGAATCTGTCGAAATATTATCGGTCAAGATAAGGTAAGGGAGTTGAGATCTTACATTTCAGCCCAAAGAGAGTCAAGACTACGCCATGATAAATGATTCAACGACCCATATAGTTTTATGACAAACAGGAGAGATTTGCGCTTTCTTTCACCGTGTGAACGTATCCTCGTTGTACCAAATCAGCTGTCTGTTCAGTGACTTTCTTTGTGGAAGACAAAGACGGTTCACAGAGTTTCTGGGCACAGTGAGTTGTGAAGTGTTTGGTTGAAATACCCATCCATGTTTATGTCCTTGTGAACGTCTGCACACATGGCCACATATGTGCTGGCACAAGAGAGGAAGACAACAGAAGCAGGAACAGATCCACAGAAAACAAAAGAGTTTATAACAACGCTGAATGTGGAAGCTGATAGATTATAACTCAAATAACTCTTTAATGTCCTCTGAGATAATCCTTTAGGGTTTTTTTTTTTATTATTATCCTAGCAACACCACAGACCTTACGTCTGAACTCAGCTTCTTGACGTGAACCTTAACCATAAGGACTAAAAGATAATCATTGATCAGGTTTTACTGATTTTACTGAATAAAAATTAGAATGCCCCCATACCTCCAGGTAAGCTGATGGGGCCACATCCTTTGCCCTGAGGGTCTTCCTTCACCATGAAGATGGTCTTCTTGCAAAGCCTCCAGAGGCCAAAGTGGGCCGCCTCACATGTGGCGTTGAGCTTCTCCACCCTGGGACTCAGGACGGCCCAGTGGTCTGTCACCACTGCCGCCAGCATCGCAGACATGCCGACGACAATCACCACAGACGTGATCTTGACCTTTGTCACCTGCTCCTCGAACATGTTGCAGCTTCGAGTTGGCGCGCGCCGAGCCGTGGGTGTGCGCGTCCGTGCTTGCCACCGGTTTGTGTCAGCTGGGCGAGTGACTGGACAAACTGCCGCGGAAGTTGCTCCTGGTCCTCTATATTTTCAGTTCTTGACATCGGACATTGTCTCCAGATGTTTTGCCGCCTTCACCACACCGCCGATGTCCTCTGTTGTCGCTCCTGCTCTTCAAGGGTCTGTCTTTTTCGTTCTCTGCCTTGTGCCTTGTGGTTGGTGAAAAGAGGCCAGATAACAGTGCCCCAGTTTCTGCCTCTCTCCTCCTCTCCCTCCCTGCTCGCCTTTGGTAAACTAAGGCCATTCACTTAGTGAATGAGCAAGGTGTGCCTGGATGTCTCTGTGCTCCCTACATCAATATTTTGGAGCAAAGCAATTAGGACCAGTGTTAGAGCAAGACTGAGCTCATTGATTTAAAGTTTTAATACAATTTGTTGATTCAGATTTTTCTTCCCCCCCTGCAATTCTTACAACATCAAAGGCCATCAGATGGGAACAATTGTCATGCTCTGACACCAGACTTTAATATTTCATCACTCTTCCAAACACTTATCAATCCATCATTTATCTGGAACATGCTCTGTCGCATCTCCCTCTTTTTCTTATTCAGTCCAATCTCATTCAATTGTCTAAGGTGCCATGCGCCGTGGGACTCCTCGGGGGAAAGATTTCCTTTATTAGTTGGCGTCTGGAAATGGCTGGTCTACTTCCTCAGCCAATCAGCCATCAAGGTTTGAAACAAGGGCTTCACCTGATCCTGGCAGCTGATCCAGATTTTTGTGACGAAAAAGGGGCTTTTACTTCAAACCTGTAGAATATTCATGCTGTTGACATTGTTGAGAGAATGCATTACACATATTTATGCCGAGTTCTCAGCGTGTATTAATTTAACGTACATACTTAAAACCACAAGTCATTTGAAAGGCTGAAATCTTACATGCTGTTGAGCTCTCTATTATTACCGGTCAGCAGGGGCTTTATTAACATATGTAACCCGTTCAAATCTGATAGATATGAATTGCACAATCGACGTCTTGCCCATAAAACTCCCTGCGTAAGTGGACAAGCTTTTTATAAACCACTGTGCCCCACTTTAGACGGGACTCTGGCCCATTTTCAGCTCTGACACCACTCACACAGCTCGTGGGGGTTTATACTTTAAACTTTGGGATATTTAAAACTAAACATAAAGTCAAGGGGACACAAAATACAATCCAGGATCACAGTGCCTCGCAAATGTTTCTACCATTTGCAATGTTGCAACTACAATCTATTGTTACTGGGTTTATATGTAATGGACCGATGTAACAAAAATGACAAAAAGACAAAACTGATGCATAGTTTTCATTTTTTTTTACAAATAAAAATCGGAGTAGTGAGGTTTGTATTCATTTCAGCACCTTTTATTCCTGCAGTAGCTCGGTCAATCTGCTCCAGGGCAGATGTGGCTACTGTTCAGTAGCTTGCCATCATCAGCCTGTGAATGTGTGTGTGTGAATGACTGAATGTAGTGTGAAGTGTTTTGGGGTCCTCTGGACTTGAAAAAGTGCTATTCAAGTGAAGGACATTTACATTTACCAAATTAATTTGAATTACTTCAATAGGCAAACAGAGACAAATTTGTAAATCCAGCTGTGAAGGCATCAGAGATTTATAAGTTTGTGGTTTTATTTTGGATAAAAGTGCACCATTTGTGTATTTCTCTCATTATGTTCTAGTATATTAGTTACTCGTTAGCTTATATTTTAGAAACTGTAGAGTACTCACTATTTAGATGCAGAGAGACTCCTATTATTGCAACCCAGAAAAGGAATTAGAACAAACTTGGATCCCAGAAAAAATTCTTCAAGAACAGGAACATTTAGTTTTTATTATTACTTAGAAACTGTGGAGTACTCATTACTTTTACAAATTTAGAGCATACATAGAAAGTCCAGAGAATACTTAGTAACCCAGAAGTCCAGAGGATACTTACTTATACTTATTTAGCAACCCTGATTAGGAGTATCTAGTTTATTTACTTTGGATCAACATTATTAGCTTTTTCTTCTTTCTTTTGGTTTATTATTTTGTATTGCACTTTGTATTGCCTTGTTGCTGAAAATGTGCCATATAAATAAAGCTACTTTTGCCTTCTTTTTAAAACATATTCATGTGTGCACAATTAGGAGATCTGCAAAGAAACAAAGCAGTTGGCTTGACATATCAGGTTTGTCAGAAAACAATATAATGTGGGCAAAAAGAAAATGCTTGGCGAAGGACATCCAAGAGTGTCAAAGTCTGAGAGATGATGGCAAAAACCCGTGTTTATTATCACAACCTGATTGCATTTGCAGTAAAGGTGTCCCTCTTCCAATGACAGGCTCCACTCATCTCTAGGTGTGTAATAATAACGTCTTTTGTTTTTTTTCCCCATCTTCCTGGCTGACCCCCCGACCTGTTATTTGTTCACGGTGTCCTCTGTGGCTGCACAGAGACCAAACGCCTCACAGCTGTCTCTAAGCAACAGACGAAGGATGGGGATAACAGCAGTGACACACCACCCACAGCGCAGTGTATCATACCCAAGAGATCACCTAGTGTCAGTCGACTGGTAGGAAAAAGACAGAACAACACCTGACAAGGAAGGAATATCTGAATCATCAACTGAACGCTTTCTTTTTTTTGTTTTTTTGTTTTTTTGTTTCAGATGTCTGCAACCGCGGACGTGCTTCATTTCTTCTGCGGGAGTAAAGATGGATTTAAAGAGATATTCTTTAATTGTGGCTGCCAGCTTGCCTGTCACAATCTTTATTCCACCATAAAACACAACCTTAATTGGTGGCTAAATTTACCCGAAGTTGACTAGATTGCACAGCCTTCAGAGGGACCCAACTGCGTTCATTCGTTAATGACAGGCAACGTTGCTCCAGCTAAATTAGACTATCCGTGCCTCAAGGCCATTTCTATGAGGGTCGTGTCAGTCTCTGCGTGTAGAACAACAGGATCGGTTACAGTGCATCCTCATCTGCTTGTTCTGTGCATTTAAACGCTTCATCTGTCCATTTAAACGAGGCTGAGGTGATGTGGGATGGTGAATTGTGAGTTAATGAGCAGAGACCCAAAACAATTCAATTAGGTGGAGATTACAAGGGGATGATGTAGCTCCGTGATTGTGCTGCAATATTGGATGTTTATATCAGAGGATGATTTCCCAAGTTGGATTACCAGTTGTTGATGAAAATGAAATATCACCAGCATGATCCCTCTCATTTTGTGGAGCCGTTTTATAATTTTGACATGAGGCACAACATAGAGTGATGTGCAAAGCTAGAACACAGTATGAGAGCTTGTATGTTTGTTTTTTTTCCCCCTAGCATATTTGGTAATATCAATGTTTAAGATAAGTCTAACCGTACTGAGAAATTCAGGGGGAATCCTGAATAAACAACAAAACTGGATGAAAGATCGTTTTCATGAAATCCAAATTTAGAAAATTGCTACTCAGCATTTGACCTGTTTAAATAGGAAAACCGGTTTAAACAGAAAAGAGGCATAGAGCAAATTCAGCATTCCAGCTGTGAAGCATGAAGGTGGAAGTGTCATGGTGTGGGAATGCTTTGCTGTAAGCAGGGTCTGGCCACCTCACCATTAAAAAAAAAAAATAAATCACTGTGAATTTTTTTTGTTTCAGAGGATGCTTTCAACATGAGAAAAACTGAAATATCACAGGACATCTATCAGACTGGCTGAAATAGAAAATATGGAACATCCTGGGTAAAAGTGAGAATTTTGATCCCATTAAGACTGTAAACAGATTGTAAATCCGAGAAACATTTCCTAGCGTAAAGCAAACGTTCCTCAAACGGATGTTAGAAACTGGTAAATTTTGATGAGAAGTGTCTTACTCAAGTTATGTTAGCCCAATATAATTAGTTAAATAGGTGTAAAAGGGTTATTTAAAAAAAAAAATTCAAGTGAATCACTTTTTTTTCCAGGTGTAAATAAAATATACAGTAAGATTAAAACTAAATATTTGAACTTTCAGACATTGAAAGTGGCAGCTTCTCTGTTCAAAGAGGTCTGCCACTAGAGAAGCACAAACAATGCAAAGACTCCAGCCAGAGGGTTGTGGCTTGAATGGAGACGGCGGCGATTTAATCTTGAGCAGCAGAGAAGGGAAAGGTCAGCCACCGACATCTGAACAAAGCACAGCAATCAGAGGTGTTCGGTGACAAGACGAGCAGCCCTGAGATGATTAGTAACAGCTGCAACACAAAAACAGAAAAGCGTTCATCAAGAGGTTGGGTTCATACATTTTTAATACCTCGAGTGTTTGATCAGGTGGTGAGTAGGTTTTCAAGCAGTCATGTACGATTCAGCTCCTCCCACCTAAATTCCTGCAATCCTAAGTTCCCCATGCCTATTCCTGTCTATTGATGTCTTGATTTGAAGAATTAACAGCTGATTTGTTTTTTGTTTTCTACCAGCCAATAAATGATCAGTTGTGGCTAATTTCTTTCATGTAAAGAACAACAAAATGTCAGAATGCCAGTTTACACACCAGCTGTAGCATGATTTAAACTGTCACTTTATCCAGTTTTTTTTATAACAACTATGATGGTGAAAAAGACATTGTGATTTGAAGCAGGAGGCAGTCATGTTTCCACTGGTCAGCAGCTGAGAAAGCAGCCAGTTGACCAAAGTTTATGTGGGAAACCAAATCTGTCTAGCTGTAAAAATAAAAAAAGGAAACTCCCTGGCGTAAACTCAATAAATGTACGGCTAAGTTTAAATGTTGGAATCTGTTTTGCTCCATATGGCCCGTATGAATTGCGATGACTGTTCACACTAAACGGCTCTGATTTTTTTATGAAGAAATCACCACCACGAAGGGCAACAATGACCCTGATTTTGTTTGTTTATTCAGGTACAGTATGCCGGGGGTAATACATGAGTTAAAAATATTTTTTTTCTTCTTTTTGTAAGAACATTGAAAGTGGGAAATACAGCAGATCATAAAAAGGCACTGAATTACCTTTACATAAGAGATAAGTTTGGTTCTGAACAAAGTGTATAACAGAACTCCTCAGTAAAACGATGGGAGCCTCGGATTCTTCACTGTTTTTATTCTGTGCAGCTCAACCGGTTCTTTACCTTCCCTCCTAATGATCCAAATTTGAAAAGCTTAACAATGACAATAGAGAAGGTGCTTTATTATATAGTGAGTCATAAATTAGTGTAAGCACATACAGTAAAATACAGCTGCCGCTCATACATGGAATAGAAATATAGTTTCTTTTCCTAAACATACTCACTGTACTTCACCTCACAAAACGAAATACTTAATAGAATCACCGACTCATAACAGAAATACTAGTCTTAGCTGAATATAAAAAAGGTAAGTTGAATCACATGATCATTTCCCGACTGGTCAGAGTTTGATTATTGAGACAATCTTTCATTAAATAATGCTTTGAATTCTCTTTTCACATTGGCATGTATG